GTAATGAAAACTTTACAAATAATAATCTAATCAACACTGAAAAATTCCGTTTACTCTATCAAACCATTAAAAAGATTCAACATTATCAACAACCACTTTTCAACATTAAAACCTCTGAACCAATTAAACAATATCTCAAAAATATCTCAAATGGTTTATTAGAAGAAAAAGATTTCCACTCAACTAGTCATAAAATTGAACCAAGACAAACTCAATAAACAACAATCAAGAAAAAAAAAAATATTAAAAAAAAAAAAAAAAAAAAAAGTAAAGCAAATCAAACCAAGTAGTTTAAAAAAAAAAAATAAAAAAAAAAAAACCAAACCAAACCAAACCAAACCAAACCAAATGGAACGACAAAAATATTATCAAATAATATTATCGATAAAAAGTTAATAAAAAATGTATTTTTAATTTTAATTTTTTTTTTTTTTTTTTTTTTTTTTATGATTATGATTTATGATTTATTTAATTTGATTTTTTTTAAAAAAATTGCAATGAATTTATAATTTAAAAAATAATTATAGAATAAATAAATAAAAGAATTTATTTTAAACACTATAAAAATTTTAATTGATTTTTTTGATAAAAAAAAAAATCCGAGATTAAAAAGTTTTTTTTTTTTAATTTTTAAATTTTAATTTTAAATACTCCGTGGGAATTAATTTTTTTACATTTTTTTTTTTTAATCATTTGTGGTTTTTTTTTTTTTTTTTTTTTTTTTTTTTGTAAAAGTTATCATCTCCTTTCATAGATTTATATTGTTAATTTATAAAAATAAAATGTCAAGTAAAACATATAATAGATTAAATGTTAACTCCAACGAAAATGATGATAATAATGATGAAAATGATAATGTAGATAGTAATAATAATGAAAATAATGATGAAAATGAAAATGAAAATAAAAATGAAAATGATAATGTAGATAGTAATAATAATAATAATGAAAATAATAATAATGAAAATAATAATGATAATATTGAAAAAAATGAAAATGATAATGATAATATTGAAAAAAATGAAATTATATTACAACCAATTGTTAGGAAACCAAAGATTGAAAAGAAACAATCATTTTTATCGAAATATCTAAAGAGTATAATCTATGGTGGTATGGATGGGTTGGTTAGTATATTTGTATCAATAGCAGTTAGTTTCTCAAGTGCTGATAACAAAATATCGGTATTGTTAATCATTGTATTGAGTAAGTTAGTTGCTGGAGCAATTTCAATGGGTATGGGCGATTATTTAGGTACACAAGCTGATATAGACTTTGCTAAAGGTGAAAGAAAGAGAGAAGCATGGGAGGTTGAATACTATTTAGAGGGTGAAAAGAGTGAAATGGTTGAAATTTATACTAAAAAAGGTATACCGGAAGAGGTTGCTCGTGAAGTTGTCGATATACTCTCTTTGAATCCAAAAGGTTTCGTTGATGTCATGATGGTTGAGGAATTAGGTATTATGCCTGACGTTGAAAGTCAATCACCTTGGAAGAACGGTTTAGTCAATTTCACTTCCTTTGTTATTTTCGGTGTTTTACCATTATTGCCATACTTGGCTTTCTTAGCAATTGCTACTGCTGCTAAAATACCTTCAGTTCAACATTTATATTTATTTTTAATTGTTATTGGTATAACTGCTTTAACTTTATTTTTAATTGGAATTTTTAAAGTAAATATTTCTTATTCTTTTTTTTTTTTTTTATATCATTTTTTTTCATTTTTAATCAAAAAACATATTTATTAAATATTTTTTTTTTTTTTTTTTTTTTTTTTTCCAAGGCAAAATCAACAGATACAAAATGGTATAAAAGTGGTGCCACAACCGTTATTTTTGGTGTAATTGGTGCAGCTGCTGGTTTAGGTACTGTTGAGCTAATTAAAGTTATTTTCCCAGATGTTGATATTTCTCAATAAATAAAAAAATTATTTTATTTAAAAAATCAAAAAAAAAAAAAAAAAAAAAAAAAAAAAAAAAATTTATAGAAAATCCTAATATATTATAAAAAAAAAAAAAAAAAAAAAAGATATCATTTCGTTTTCTTTTATACAAAAGAGATAACACCAACTAATTAGAGGAAACAAAAAAAAAAATATGTTTAATTTTTTTATTTTATTTTATTTTTATCAATGCCTTTTAAAAGGAGTGTGTGACTCAATATTTCAAAACAATTTTAAATAAAAAAAATAAAAATAAAATAAAAAAAAATAAGATATTTTTTTATTTTAAAAAATTAATTTGTTTTTTTTTTATTTTATTTTTTTTTTTTTTTTGCGTTTTTTTTGTAAAAAAAGGTGAAAAGGTGGATTTAGTTTATCACAACCAAAAATAATTAAAATTTAAAAAAAAAAAAAAAAAAAAAAAAAAAAAAATCTTCACACTAATTTCTATCCAACTAAACGCACATTTTCATTGTGTGTGTGTGAAAAAAAAATAAAAAATAAAAAATTAAAAAAACAAAAAAAAAATAATTAAAAATAAACATCAAAACCTCTCCATTAATAATAAAATTATTATACATGCACAATAAATAAAACTATAATAAAAAAGATGAAAAAATTACCCTTTATAATAATAACCATATATATATTTTTTATACTGATATCGACTACCTTGTCGATAGGTAATAATAATAATAATAATAATAATAATAATAATAATAATAATAATAATAATAATAATAATAATAATAATAATAATAATAATAATGATAATATCCAAAATATAAATAAAAATAAAAAACAACATTTGTATAATAATAAAGTAATAATAAAGAATGATAATAATGATGACATACAAAATAATAGATTTAAGATTAGGTTTGATGATGAAATTAATAATGATGATAATATTTATAATGAAAATAGTGATAACGTTTATAATAGTAATAATAACAATGATGATGATGATGATGATTATTATTATTATTATAATTTTTTAAATAAACATAATAGATTTGCATTTAATATTTTTGGAAGTAGTAGTGATACAAGTGGTAGTGGTAGTGATAGTAATAGTAGTAAAAATGCAGATTCATCTGCAAACCCACCACCAACACCAATAGCAATCAATGGTACATTAAATTCTACTGCCACTGTTTTTTGGTCAGGTGGTAAATCAAGTTGTGAATCAGTGAATTGTACAGAAGAAGGTTTTTCAACTGGTGATAGTTTTGCATGTAGTTATGATATTACACCACAATATCCTAGAGGTCAATGGGAGAAAGGTGTAAAATATTTCCAAGATCCTTTACCAGAATCTATATCAAATAATCAAGTGATTGGTGTATCATTTGTAATCAATGGTGTCGTTGGTTGTACTGCAATTAAACAAGAGCTTACAACTATAGAATTTCTAATTCAAGATGTACAAATTGGTCAAACCATTTCAACCAATAGATCTGATGATTGCTCATGTGGTATCTGTTATAAAGATTATGAAATCTTACCACAATCTTATGATTTATTGGGATATAATAGAAGTGGTATGAATAGAGTTCAACTTTTACTTTTAGATAACTCAATGTGTGCAACTAGTTTGGATATAATATTCCATTATCATCCAACACCACCTAATCCACCTTCAAAAGATGGTGATATTTCACCACTTAAAAAATATTTAATTATAGGTTTTTCAGTTGCTGGTGGTTTATTAATTATTGGCGGTTGTTTCTTATTGATTAGAAATCGTTATAAAGCCAATTCTAACTATAAGACTGATAGAAATGGTTACACTCAAATTAAAGATGGTAAAGATATAGATATTCATCAAATTAAAATTGGTGTTAGAATAGGTAAAGGTAATTATGGTGAAGTCTATTTAGGTACTTGGAGAGGTTCTCAAGTTGCTGTTAAAAAATTACCTGCCCATAACTTAAATGAAAATATCTTAAAAGAATTCAATAGAGAAATTAATTTAATGAAGTAATTATTTTATTTATTTATTTATTTGATTTTTTTTTTTTTTTTTACTAATTATTGTTATTATTATTATTATTTTTTTATTTTTTTTTTTTTAATTAGGAACTTAAGACATCCAAATGTTATTCAATTTTTAGGATCATGTTTAATACCACCAGATATTTGTATTTGCACAGAGTATATGCCAAGAGGTTCACTATATTCAATTTTACATGATCAATCATTTCAATTACAATGGTCATTACTTATTAAAATGATGATAGATGCAGCAAAAGGTATAATTTATTTACATAATTCAACACCAGTTATATTACATAGAGATTTAAAATCTCATAATTTATTAGTCGATGAAAATTGGAAAGTTAAAGTTGCAGATTTCGGTTTAAGTACTATCGAACAACAAGGTGCAACAATGACAGCTTGTGGTACTCCATGTTGGACTTCACCAGAGTAAGTTTTCTTTTTTTTTTTTTTTTTTTTTTTTTTCATAAAAAAAAATTATATATGTACATAAAACTTAATTATTAATAATTTTACAAATTTAAATAATTTAATTTATGTATGTATTTTTTTTTTAATATAAAACAGAGTATTAAGAAGTCAAAGATATACAGAAAAAGCAGATGTTTATAGTTTTGGAATTATATTATGGGAGTGTGCAACTAGACAAGATCCATATTTTGGTATACCACCATTTCAAGTTATTTTTGCTGTTGGTCGTGAAGGTATGAGACCACCAGTTCCTCAAAATGGTCCACCAAAATATATTCAACTTTTAATTGATTGTTTAAATGAAAATCCATCACATAGACCAACAATGGAACAGTGTTTAGAGAGATTAGAATCAATTGATTCAAGTGATCATCCAGATTTACAATATGTTCACCAACAACTATAAAAAAAAAAAAAAGGTAAAAAAAAAAAAGAAAAAAAAGAATAAAAAAATATTTTAATTTTTCATAACCAATTCCACTTTCCTCACGTTGTCTCTTACCCGTAAAACTCTTTAACCTCACATCATTATTGAAGATATAGTCCGAGATTTTACTTCTCGATGTATCGATGCATTTTTTGTTGCTTATTAATGCTCGGAGCTCTGATGCGAAATGTGGGTGGACGCAGGCAATCAACATTTCCAGCGTCCACCCACAGTTCGCATCAGAGCTCCGAGCATTAATAAGCAACGAGAAATGAATTTTATAACTTTATAAACGTCTACAGCCCACTTCACGAAGGTGTTTCAACTTTTTCTTTTTCTTTTTCTTTTTCTTTTATTTTATTTTATTTTATGCAAAACGTTAAAAAAAAAAAATAAAAAAAAATTAAAAATAAAATAAAAAATTAAAATAAAAAAATCTTTTTTATAAAATTTTTTTTTTAAGATATCTTTTTCACAACCAAATTTTTTTTTTTTTATTTTTTTTTTTTTTATTTGTAGTGTTGATCAATGATAATAATTCTTTTAAACTAATTTTTTAAAAAATATATATATATTAATATATATATTATATACAAAATAATATATTAATAATATATTTATTATATATTAATAATATTAATATATAGTGGTAGTTAATAAAATTAGGGAGGGATAGAGAAAAATTCACACACAAAGATAAAATGAAAGTTCAAATAATTTTCTTTAGTATTATACTCTTTATATTTGTTTTATTTATATTATCAGTTGAATCAAATAAAATTAAAATAGTTTCTCCATTTTTAGAAAATAGTGTTGATGAAATAGAAGATTTTTATAATTTTTATAGCGAAGATAGTAATAGTAAAAGTAGTAGTGATCATAGTAGTGATAGTAGTAGTAGCAGTAGTATCGATTATAGTGATAGTAGTAGTAGTAGTAGTAGTAGTGGTAATAGTAATAGTAAAAGTAGTAGTTCTAGTAAAAACGAAAATAGTAAAGGAGAGTCAACCTCTTCAAGTGAAAATAGTGTATCACCTCCAACACCAATACCGATAGATGGTTTATTATCAGCTTCTACATTTGTTTATTTTGTATGTAATATATATATATATATATATATATATATATATAATAATAAAAAAACCATTATTAATAGTTTTATTATTTTTATATATCATTTTATTTTATTTTTTAAAAAATAAAAAGACAGGTGGCAAAGTATTATGTGAAAATGTAACATTTTGTCCAAAAGGTTATATGTATTCTAGTGATTATGCATGTAATTATGATATTATAGATAATGATCCAGCTACACATAGAGGTGATTGGAATGATGGTATTAAAATATTTGAAGATCCATTACCAAAGAATACTACCATTGACCAAGTTGAGGGTATATCATTCACTATATCAGGAGCTGTTGGATGTCAAGTTACAAATGGCGATACTGAATTGGAATTCTATATTCAAGATTTATTAGTTCTAACAAATACAACATCAAGATATGATATATGTACATGTGGATCTTGTTATGTAACTATAGGAACTGATGTTTTTAAATATGGTATGTTAGGATATAACCTTACTGGTGAAAATAAATTTCAAATTCAAGTTAGTGTAAATTCAATGTGTGCAACGAGTATAGGTATAACTCTATATTATAAACCACCAAATATAACACCAACAATAACCCCAACAATAACTCCAACTTCAACACCAACCTCAACCCCAACTTCAACACCAACTACAACCCCAACTTCAACTCCAACTTCAACACCATTTACTCCAACTCCAACTCCAACTAAATCGCCCTATAGTGGTGCTTTGTCACCTCAGGTTAAAAAATATATCATCATTGCATCATCGATTACAGGTGGTTTATTGATTTCAATATTTTCATTCGTACTCATTAGAAGGAGATTAGATAAAAAGAAATCTGGTTACACTCAAATTAAAGATGGTAAAGATATAAATACTCAACAAATTAAAATTGGAATTAGAATAGGTAAGGGTAATTTTGGCGAAGTCTATTTAGGTACTTGGAGAGGTTCTCAAGTTGCTGTTAAAAAATTACCTGCTCATAATATTAATGAAAATATCTTAAAAGAATTTCATAGAGAAATTAATTTAATGAAGTAATTATTTATTTATTTATTTATTAATCAATTAAAAATAATTGGAATTTTATTTCATTTTTACTAATTTTTTTTATTAGGAATTTAAGACATCCAAATGTTATTCAGTTTTTAGGATCATGTTTAATACCACCAGATATTTGTATTTGCACAGAGTATATGCCAAGAGGTTCATTATATTCAATTTTACATAATGAAAAAATTACTATACAATGGTCATTGGTTAGGAGAATGATGATAGATGCAGCAAAAGGTGTTATTTATTTACATGGATCAACACCAGTTATCTTACATAGAGATTTAAAATCTCATAATTTATTAGTCGATGAAAATTGGAAAGTTAAAGTTGCAGATTTCGGTTTAAGTACTATCGAACAACAAGGTGCAACAATGACAGCTTGTGGCACTCCATGTTGGACTTCACCAGAGTAAGTTTTCTTTTTTTTTTTTTTTTTTTTTTTTTTTCATAAATATATACATAAAACTAAAAAATATATATACAAAACTTAATTAATTTTAAATAATTATTAATAATTTTATAAATTTAAATAATTTATATATACATTCTAATATAAAACAGAGTATTAAGAAGTCAAAGATATACAGAAAAAGCAGATGTTTATAGTTTTGGAATTATATTATGGGAGTGTGCAACTAGACAAGATCCATATTTTGGTATACCACCATTTCAAGTTATTTTTGCTGTTGGTCGTGAAGGTATGAGACCACCAACACCAAAACATGGTCCACCAAAATATATTCAACTTTTAAAAGATTGTTTAAATGAAAATCCCTCTCAAAGACCAACAATGGAACAATGTTTAGAAATTTTAGAATCAATAGAAACAAAAGGTTATGATGATATACCTGCCAATAGTAATAACAATAATAATAATAATAATAATAGTAATAATAATATAAATGAAAATAGCTATAATAATATTGAAAATGTTGATACAGGTAACAACATAAATAAGAGTAGTAGGGTAATAAATTGAAAGAAACAAGTTGTATATTTTTTATTTAAAAAAAAAAAAAGAAAAAAATTTTAAAATTTATTGTAAATTTAATTGTACAATTATCAAATAAATAAATTTGCAAAATATATTTATTTTTCTTTTTTCTTTTTTTTTTTAAATATTATTCAGACTGATCCCAAACTCTAATTGTGCAATCAGTTGAAGAAGTAATGAATTGATTTTTTGATGGATGAGAATCAACATGAGTTATAATATTTGAATGACCAGATAATTTTGATAATAGCTTACCACTTGATAATTCATAAATATAAAAATCATTATCTTCGCTACCACTGATTATTAATGAATCATCGAAATTTGAACAACTATTAATTTTATAAACTGAATTTTTATGACCTTTATACTCTTTTAATGTATCATATGATTCAATATCAATTAATCTAACTGTTTCATCTGTGCAACTTGCAATAAAACATTTTTTATCTTTTGTAATTGAAACTGATGATATTGGAACTTTTAATAGGTGGGGATAAAAAAAATAAAGTTTTGAACAAATTAAATTATTAGTAAAATTAAAATTAATATCATTATTATTATTATTATTATTATTATTATTATTATTATTATTATTATTATTATTATTATTATTATTATTATTATTATTATTATTATTATTATTATTATTATTATTATTATTATTATTATTATTATTATTATTATTATTATTATTATTATTATTATTATTATTATTATTATTATTATTATTATTATTATTATTATTATTATTATTATTATTATTATTATTATTATTATTATTATTATTATTATTTATTATTATTAAAAACCTACTTGTATCTTCATAAGTTACCAATGTACCCATTCTAACATCATATGTTCTAATGCAACCATCTACACTACTTGTAATAACTTCCTTTTGAGTATGGGTGTGAGGTTGATGACCATGACCATGACCATGACTATGATTATGAGTTATAGTTTGTTCATTTACAATGATTGAAGTGATTGTATCTTTTGAATCATCTAAAATTTGAACTGGGTTTGTTGATTTTGTTCTAAGATCCCATGCTTTTACTAATCTATCAACTGAGCCAGAGAATAGTAATGTGGAATCAACATTCACACAAACACTTGTGATTGTATCATTATGAGCATTCTGAAACCTTCTAATCACTTCACCACTTGCAATATCCCATTGATAAAGTTGTTTCTCTGCACATGAAAACAGTTGTTTATTATCTGATGTGGATACTAAATCACCAATACCATATCCATGTTCCTCAAATGAATGAATCATACTACCTTTTGATACATTATATAACTTTATAGATTTATCTGCTGAACCACTCAAACAATATCCGCCATCACTATTATATTTTACAACTGTAACTGAACTAGAATGATTACTTAATACTTTATTACAACTTATTTTAACCATTCTATGACAATATATTAATTCTATTGTTTACAGATTTTTTATGAAATTGATAAAAAAAAAAAAAAATAAAAAAAAAAAATAAAAAATTAGTTTGTGCAAATTAAAAAAAAACTTTTTAAAATAATAATATCTAATGAAAATTGGTTTTGTAAAAACAAAATATGAAAATGGAAATTCCAAAAAAAAAAAAAAAAAAAAAAATTAATAAAGAAATAAAAAATAAAAATATTAAAATATTATTGGAAAAAAACAAATACTTCACTATAAAGAGTAATTTGAATAAAATTAATAAAGATTTCCAAAAAAAATAAAAAAATGTGACAAAAAACTTTTGTAAATTTTTTTTTTCATGAAAATTTTTTGTTTTTCTTTTTTTTTTTAAAAAAAAAAACCTATAAATAACCATTATTATTAATTTTTTTAATATGATATCAAATAATAATCAAAATAGTAAAGAGATAATAAATGAAGAGTCCCTTTATAATTCATTATGTTTTTTATCATTTGAATTATTACTTGATTCATTAATATCGATTGGATATGAAAATGATATAGACACAATTGGAACATCAAAGACATTAGTATTGAATAGATTAGTGAATGATGCAAGAGAATTAGGTATTGAAGAGTTTATTCAGCGTTTAAATTTTGATACAATCACAGAGACGTGTTCACTACTATCATTGTCAG